GGGGGGGGGGTTCGAAATATTACAAAGACATCTGTTGGCTTGTTATCAACAACATGAGTCGTGCTTCGTGGCAGCAGAATCGGGAATCGACTCATTCGAGGATTCGACCCAAAGGGATCCCTCGACGTAACACGCGTGTCTCCTCGAGTCCGCTACTCGGCCTTGGAGGGGTTTTGTTGATGTGCGCACGCTAGGAGGATTGACAGTGACGTCTATATCGCGCCCCAGTCAATGAATGGGATACGAACGGAGTGGATCCCCTAGTTATACTCTCTACTCTTTTACCGGGAATCAGCCGCCGGTGTCGCACTATCGGCATCATCGGCCATCGGCCTATGGCACTGGTGCCAGTGCCAGTACACAAAGGACGGGCAAAGGAAAAAAAAATGACGTTAGGGTGTGATCGCGGCTAGGCGTCGGCCATTCTGTCTCCCAGAAAGACTGTGACATGCACCATTTCTTATGGAATGGTGCCTCTCCCAGACAAAAATATCTATCGGATTATATTCCAACCGGATTATAAGAACCGGCGGAGGAAGGTAGCGGTAAAGAACGGGAAATAATAGCATCTCCCTTTACGTCATGCTCTTGCAAGGGATGTGTCACCAAATGCTCTCAACAACAGCAACGGGCAACAAGCTAACCATTGACAGCCTTATAGTGAGATGAAAGTCGAACAGGACCGAAAATGGTCTCCACCGTTTCAAGGAGGCCCACTGATAAGAATCGCATGACTTCCAATTAGACCTATTAGGATATTTAGGAGACTTCGTGTACAGTCAACAATCGGCACCGGCACCGGCCGATTGTTATGAGGAAAAAATCGGCCTACTATTTATTGTAGTACCCCAAGAGAGAAGAGAGAAACGACTATTCGTATGGGGTTTTTAAGCTCGTGTTATTTTTCTATAGGCTCCACCAAAAGGTTTCGTCTAACCGTTTTAATATTTTTATTTCTTCAGTCAATGAAATGTTAATAGATGGAATCCGGAAGCCTAAATTAAATCCCCGTGCTCTGACACTGTACAAGGAGATATCCAGGCATAGCCTTCTGGAAAGCGCCAAATGCGAACCACTTCACGGCAGCTTAGAAGAGAACCTCTAAGCACGAAATAATTCATCAGCATACCTGAGAAAAGAACGGCGAGGAATCCACCCGAAGACGCCATGTTGTCGAGTCCCACCGCGGAAGATCCTCAGCTCACACTGTCGAGGAGCTCGAAATCGCGTTATCTCGTCTGAATCGGAGGAGCATCTGCGGGCTTTCCACATAGGAACCGCCAGGTGTTTCGATTCTCGTCGTTCATGGACCCGGAAACAAAGGAAATTCACAACCTTGTTTTTTTTTTTCTTCTTCCCATTCCTCCTCTCCGACAGTCATGCAGAGGAAATTGGAATCATGGTCACGTAGCTTCAATGGAAGAGCTGTGCCTGTTAGAATCTGTTAGCATACTGGCCCGTGCCACAGTTAATGCTCTCTCAATACGGTAGTGTGTAATCCGCCTTTTTGCCTATTGGGGGAGTGGGAGTGTCCGAAAAAAAAGAGCAGAAAAATGAATAATGTCCAAATAACCGTTATGATTGAATCAAATGATCGACGGTGCAAGAACTTGAAACCCCTGTGAAAACATCAACATTTTTTTTGGCCCCTTGAGGTCGGGAGCGATCAAGTGGCGAGAAGCTACAGCACAAATGGGGATGCCCCAGAACGCATTCATGCATCCGCACGAGGCATTCATGCATCCGCACGAAGCATTCATGCATCCGCATGCATCCCAAGTCATCGAAGTCTTCTCCGCCGATGACGTCTGGACGACAACGTCGACTCGACGTTGGTAATGCGGTGACGATGTTGAGAGGACGTCGATGCTGATGATCTAATGCATAGTCAGCATTGACGCAATATTGAAAATGTAAACATTGCAGGGACATCATCCGGTCAGCATTCGAACAACATATGTCGGACGAGACATCTGGCGAGACATTCGAACGAATAAGGTTTCCTGATCCCGATGTGAGATGGCGCCAAATCGCCAACACATGGAGTCATATCCCAGCAAAAATACTAACATTCAATCAGCGTTGTATGAACGTTGATTTTGAACCTTCCCAGTGTTTTGTTGGCGTTGCAGCTAGCATTAAGTCACTATTGCAATGTCGCTTATCGGAACACTCAGATGAACGTTGAAGTTCAACACTGGCTGAACGTTGAGCCAGCATTGTAATGTCACTTATTTGAACCCTCACTCTCACCCTTGTAGCATTCCATAATTGGTCAATAATGAAGGCAATGGATTAAATATTATTCTGAAAGTACTAATCTTGATACTTTACAGAGAACGGCTTTCCCCTTTCTGCTCTGTGGAGTATAGAAATCCTCCTTCCCAAGTACGGAGAATAGAGCCAATGTATATGATTGAGTTTGTAAAAACTCTTTCTTAGGTAATTGTGCACTGGGATGCAAGGATTTCACATAAGGAGTATGAGCTTATTTATTGCCTGGGCTCCATGTTTCTGTCTCGAATATATCTTATAAATTAATAAGTGCCGATTTTATTGATTGATATAATGAGGCAATGAAAAACATATGGTGAGGTAATAAACACTCCTGTGAGAGATGTTTCCATGGAAAGAGGGAAGTGTACTTTTGTGTACTGTGCGAAAAGCGAGACCCTTACCTCCATCTAGTGGCCAAGATAAGAACTTCATCATTTCCTCAAAATTAACTCCTCCGTGGAAATTGGGCTCATTGGATCATCGCGTCAGTCTGATATTGCATCGATGATGGAATGGCAAAATCGGGAAGTCAATATCGAGCCAATATTTAGACGGTATTGGCAATAATGGCAAAATGCATGTAGACATCGTGCCCAATGTTGGTTCAGCATTCACTCAATATCTGATATTACTGGGGTACTAACAGTGAATAGGTTCTTTCTCGTTTTGCGAGGAACTTTTTTTCCCTATTTGGCGATGCATATTCCATGAAACTACCATAAATATTATTCGAAAATGCGATTTAAAAAGGTATAATGCCATAACACTGCTACAATATTCACGCAACGTTGGTCTTTGACCTTCAACGTCGATGACACTGTATTGACTCTGGGGGAACGTTCCCACAACGTTACTCTGTTTTCTGGGATCATATATGCAACTGGCACGCGTTCCCAGTACTTTTGGAACGGTACTTAATATTTTCTCCAAGAAGGCACCGTGGGAAGGTATAACGTCAGGACCTATGTAAGTTGCTCTCTCAGTTGAGCTGGGTTACT